GCCTCGCGATCCGGGGGGCTCCTTGCCCAGCCGAGCTGCCCGGTCTTCGAGGACTGCAGGCAGGTGAGCGTCCAGAGCCCGGATCGGGGGTAGATGTCTCCACCTTCAGCTTCCGCACAGTTTGGGGAGGGGTCTCCTGCGCCTTTAGCATCAGCCCGTTTTCAGGCGTCCCTCTGTCCCTCTGCCGCCACCCCTCACCGGCCTGTTCAGTGCTGTGCCCTTGGGGTGAGCATGGGGCGATGCCCAATTTGTCGGGTGGTGAAGTTCGTGCTCATCCATCGGCCTCGGAGGAGGGGCTAAGCTGGCAGGTCTGGAGAAAACGGGGGGCTGCACCCCCATTCCTCCTCCCCTACCCCCACCCCAGGAGAGTCGGAGAAGCGCTTCAACTCCTGGGCCAGCTCTGCTCCAAAGATACCAGGGGGCACCAGCGGCGCTGAGGACTTCGCGCTTTCCTGGGGCGGGGGTCCTCAACCTTCCTGGCCTCTCACAGCGCCCTTCTCAATGTCGCCAGCTCTTCACCCTCCAACTGTCAGGTGCAAACTGAGCCTGAGATGCCCGTCTGCGCAGTGCCAGCCGGAGTCCCACTGAGGTGGGGGCGAAGGTGGCGCCACTGGAGAAGAGGGCGGGAATGGAGAACCCGAGCGGTCGGGTCAGGGTGCGGAGCTGACCACCACGCAGTCTGTTTTCCAGGGCCGATCCTGCAGCTTCTGGTGGTGGGAACAGCTGTCCAGTCCGGTTGGAGGGCTTGGAAACCCGTGTGGGTGCTTTGAGCAGGATGGGGGTGTAGGACAAAGTGCCACTAGGTGCTGATGTCACCTTTGAGGAGAGGCACCAGGCGGTGTCCATTAGGGGCAGGGGGTTGGGGTGGCTGCTCTGCTGCCGTGTGAGCAAGTGGTTACCGAGGAGACTCCCCGTGCGGCCCCTCCAATAGCCAGGCTTCTCCAGAGATGTTGGAACTGGCACTTAGTACTCTGTTCCGCAAACATTTATTGGACACCTACTGTATGCCAGATAGTGCTAGGGGCTAGGTCTTTTCAAGGCAATTTAGGGCCATGGGGCAGTTGAAAGGTACACACAGTTACCCTAGGCACTCGTAGCAGCCCCCTCCCCGTTTCGTTATATGGCTATTGGATTAGAAAAGGGCAGAGCCCACAGGGTGGAATTCCAGCCCATCCATCCCCTACCATCAGCAGCCGGGCACTGCCAGGGAAGCTGCCTGGGCAGGAGGAGCTGTTTGAATGATTTCCCTTGGCTATTTTCTAGGACTGTCCTGAGGTCCGAGGAGGCTGCCTGCAGTGAATGGTATCTCAATAATGAGATGATGAACACCCAGTGGTTATTGCCCCCCTCCCCCCAGAGTGCTCTAGACACCTGGCCCAGCGGGGACTCCAGCTCTGGAAGACAGCGGAGTGTGGGGGCAGGGGGTGTGGAAGGGAAGCTCCTCCAGCCAGTGCTGTCTGGGCATGTGCTGCTGAGCACGTCATGTTGTCAGACCCGGGTGTGTGACCTGGCAACTGGGTGTTAAGGAGGCATTGGAGGGGCAGGTCAGGGAGCCAGGCTCCTGGGTCTCTCGATTGCTAAACTCTTAGGGTTGGAAAGAGTTGTCAGGGGTTTCCGTGGTCTGTTCAGAGCCTCTGAGGATCATGGTGAGAGTTGGGGAGAGGACGGGCTGTGATTGCAATGGGGCAGGGTGAAGGCTCAGCAGAGCCAGGGAGCTGGGGGCGAGAGGGCTTTAGGATGGGAGGGAGCTAGCTGTGGCCGCTCTATGCCAGGGATACTCTCCCCTGGGGCTTAGGCCCTTGGATGAGTTGCTATGGGAACATGGGGTGGTATGGAGCTGTGTGGAGTATGTGTGCTGGAGAGGAGGGGTTGGTGCAGAGTAGGGATGACTGAAGGATGGAAAGCTGCCCCAGGTCCCAGGTAGAGAATTGGGAGGAATGGAGGGGAGGGAGTGGGCATTGCAGCCACAGGAAGTCACCATCTGTCCCCCCCTTCGGCCTGCTGGCTCACTGACCTATAATTAGCTCTGGAAGGCATACGGTACTGGCTCACAGGAGCAAACGTGGCCCTCTGGATGGCCATCAGAGCAAAAAGTACATGGAGGCCAACTCTGTAGGAGCTGCTCCTAGGCCCTTTGATGCACTGAGGGGTCTCTGGGAACTGCGAATGCTGCGGGGGCAGGGCTGTGGGGCAGGAGCTCTGGGCTGGGGAGGGGTCGCTCCAAAGCCAGCAGAGCCTGAGGACTCGCCCAGCTACTGGCTCACCAGTGGCACAGTGGGCGCAGGCTGTAGGCTTGTGGGGAGGTGGGCATGCAGCACCTCAGAGAGCCCTTCCAAGCAGGAACCCGGAGTTCTAGGTAAGGGAGTTGGGGCGGGGTGAGTGCTGGAGGGTGGAGGCCCCAGCAGCTACTACGGAGCAGGACTCTGCTGAAAGGAGAGATGCTGGTCCATGAGTAGTGGACATTTTGCGGGGGTGGGGGGGGGGGTTCATGGGGTGATCACCACCATTGCTAATGCATGTGGAGCCCTGGGCTTGGGGGACCCTGCAGTGAGGCTCTCATGGGTGCAGTAAGTAGAAGGGGAGCTGGGCCCAGTTACTAGACCTCCGCTCACACTAGGCCAGTCATGGAACCAAAATATTTGGCCCTTGTTTGGGCCAGAATATGTGCAACAGATGGAATTTTCACTCCCTTATTCTCATCCACGTCCTAACCCCCTCCCTCTCATAGTCACACGAATTCAAGGACTACACCTGGGAGCAGCTAGAGAGATGGCTTCACAGATACAGGCCCAGTGGCCTCGTCAGTGACAGGGTGGCTGCTCTCAGAGACCTGCCCCCAGAGGGGAGGGGGAGCTGTCCCTAGGCTGCAGCACCCTGGCACCCTGGATGAGGGTCGGAAAGACCTGAGAAAGGTCATGGGGTGAAGGAGTAAGGCCCCTCTATGGACTCAAACAGACTGGATTTGAACCTCGTTCTTCCTCTCACTCACTGTGGGAACATCGGTGTGTGCCTGAGCCCCGAGTCCCATGTCTCTGAAACGGGAAGAAGAATTCCATGTCCTTGGAAGGGATCGTGAGGACTGGAGTGAGTTAAGATATGCCAGCCATCAGCACAGCCTGGCACGTGGTCAGAGCTGAGTAAATCATAGTTGCTGTCACAATTGTTCTTTTCCTGGGTCGCACCTCCCTCCCCATGTCGTGCCCTCGAATTGGGAGGATGACCTTCCTCTTAGCTCTTTGCTCTGAGGCTTCCTCTTGGCCCAACTCATGGGCTTCGGGATTTGAGCACCAGGGTCTCCAGCTTGGCCCTGGCCCTGTGGCTTCCGTGGGGCAGCAGCCTGGCCCTGGCCGCGTTCTCACAGTGATGGGCCTGCCGTCTGGTGGGGCAGCGGGGAGCCAGAGCATCGGACCCAAGTACCCATTCCTCCTGTTTGCTGGGAAAGGATGGGGGTAAGCTTTGGGAAGCCCAAGGGACCTCAGAGTTTTCGTGTCCCGTGTTTATGAGCCCTGACCCCGCCCTGCTCACACCCACACAGTCCTGCTCACCTGGAGCCCTCTTCCGCTCTTTTACAGCCTGCCCGCACCCCTCACTGGCAACCCCTCCATCCCCCCAAAATGTTGGCTTTGGGCAGTAGCTTTTGCCTCTGAATCAGGGCCTGTGTGTGTTACTGGACGGCAGGAGCTAAGGCTTTGTTAGGCTGAGGTGATAACTGCGCTATTTAAAGGTGTCCCTATCCCAGGGCTCCCTTCGGCCAACCCCCTCAGCAGGGCATCTGGCTCTACCTGATGGCATTTTGCCAGGGCGAATGGAGCTGCTACCTGGCACCTGGCTTGGAGGGAGGCTTGGGGAGGGCTGGTGGCAGCGAAGCTAGCTTCTCAGTTGCCAGAATGACCAGGAGGATTTGGGGGAGGCCAAGTTGGACCAAATAGCCAGCACGTCACAGTGGGCAGCCTGAGAACCGCCCAGGCCTTCCCTTTGAGGACCCGTGAACCCTCCCGCAGGCCACCTGTGCCCAGCACTGGTGCTTCCTGCTGTTCCCAGCTGTTACCCTGAGCTCATTCCTCTGAGGGAGCAGAGCAAACCCTGTGGGCTCCGTCTGACAGCAGAGGCCTCGGTAGGTGGTGAGAAGCCCAGGGCCACCCAGGCGGTCCCCTTGGTGCCAGCTTTGGGTCGCTGCACTCCCCGCAGGCTGCCCCGGATCGGTGTCCCTCCGCAGCATGCTTTCTGCCGCAGCCTCCCTCCTGCTCTCTCATTTTTTCTCAGGGTGGGCGTCAGGGAGGGGAGGGATGAGGACCTGGCTATGCTGAGCTGGGGGAGGTGGGGCATTGTGACCTTTCAGCCTCACAGGTGGAGCACCCAGGGTGTAGGGTCCTGGGCACTGGTGCTGGCAGCATCAGTGAGATGGCAGCGGGCTCTTGTTCTGGGCGCAGGGATGTGGGGTGGGCAGGTGCAGCCTCCATGGTGGCTGTGAGCTCGGGGACAGGGTCCCTTGGGTCAGAGTGTGTCTGGGAGCGTGTGCGTGGCCACGTGTGTGCATGTCCTGGGTCTCTGTGCTCTGTGTCTGCCTCTGTACATGTGTGGGCAGTACCCACACGCCTGCTTGAACCACTGGCCCTCTGGTTCTCAGGCTGGCACTCTGACTTCCTCTGGTCCAGGCCCACATCCTTCCCTGGCCTCCCAGAGCATCAGCACTTCGGGGGAGGGCATGGCAGGGGGGTTGGGGGGAAGAGGCTTGGCTCTTCTCCGGTTCTCCTGTGGATTCTGACCTCACACTGGGGCCCCATGTGTCTTGTCCTCTCCCATCTGCCACCTGAGGGGTGGACAAGAAGCTGTCCCTGTGTCTCCCAAGTGGAGAGGGAGAGGGAAGGAAGGAAAGACTGTTTGTGGAGCATTGCTCTGCCGGGTGCCTCACGTCTCTCATGTAACAGGAGCTCTGCAAAGTGACTCAGGTGGTGGCCTTCAGCAGCAGCAGGGCGGTTGGAAGCTGGCTGCAGGCAGAGAAGTCCCCAGCTGCCTGCTGCCACCTCTGCTCTGATGACTGGGCATCCCTGTGCCAGGCTCAAGGCATTGCAGGAGCCAGGCTGTGCACACGCTAACACAGCACCAGCAATGGCAGTTATATGGAGAGAGAAGATTCCAAGCCTTGAGCAGGGCCCCCACGTCTTAGCCCTGCCCCAGGAGAGTGACAGCCCCACCCCACATCCACCTGGGTTTCCTCGAATCGTCTGGCCGTGAAAGCAGAATGGACACCTGCTGCTGTGTGCCAGGTCCCAGGGGTGGGTGATGAGCCAGAGCCTCCTCCCTGAATGCTGGGCCTCAGGGCCAGCCGGGCCTCACCAAGGAGCCTCTCCAGGGAGCCCAGCTGCACTGCTATCAGGGCAGGACCACCCGGTGTCCTTTAACCCCTTCTTAGAGCCCTTTAACCCCTTCTTGCCTGCCTTGGCCAGAGTGTGGGGCCAGAGACCCCGGTCCCTCCCCTTGCTCTCTCCCACCCCAGGTCTCAGGAGGGCTCTGGGCAGCCTGCCGCTGACTGAATCATTTCTATATTTGGCCAGGGAGCCACGTGGGTGGGAACCACTCCACTGCGGCTGCACTTCTGACAGCTGGGGTGGGAGTAAGCTGAGAAGGGGCGTGCACTGACACCTCCCTTTCCTTTTCTCACCCTTCCTGGGTGCCTTCTCCGCTCCTCGGGTCCTCACAGCAGCCTCTTCTCCCACAGGCCACTGCCCTCCAGAACCATGGGTGTTGCTCGACCCAGCTGGGACTCTGCCAGGCTCCAGAACTCCGTCTAAGCAAAGGGCCTTCTTCCAGCCACCCTCTTCCTGTCTGCCATGGCCACGCTCAGCTGCTGCCTGCCTGCCTGGGAATACAGCCCGCCCAACCCCAGCCCTGAGGGGTTAGGCCAGGCCCCTGGGCTCCATTTCACAGGGGCGCCTCAGGCACCTGGCCCCTTTCAGACCAAGAGCAACTGATGCCATGGGAGGAGCCCCGCCCACCTGTCTGCTCGCCTGGCACTGCCCGCTCTGAGGCCCCTGCTCTGGGTCCCCCTGGAGGTGCCAGCCCTGTGAATCCCTTCCCTGTCCCCCACACTGAGAAGGCCCTGCCCACCCCACCATGTGTGAGGTGATGCCCACAATCAACGAGGGGGACCCTCTGGGGCCCCCACATGGTGCTGATCCGGATGCCAACTTTGAGCAGCTGATGGTGAACATGCTGGATGAGCGGGAGAAGCTGCTAGAGTCCCTTCGTGAGAGTCAGGAGACCTTGGCGGCCACGCAGGGCCGGCTCCAGGATGCCCTGCATGAGCGGGACCAGCTGCAGCGCCACCTGAACTCCGCCCTCCCCCAGGTCAGACCTGACCCCTGCACGCCTCCCCGCCCCCAGCCCTGCCGAGCCCAGCGCCCTCAGGGCCCTCAGGAGGCCATCTCAGTTGCATGTCAGAAGATGGAGCCCCCAGAGCCTCCACTGCCCCTCACCTCCCTGTCCCTTCCCTGTCCCTTCCAAGCTTCTGGGGAAGCGGGTGGAATTGGACGCAGGAAGAAAACCAGCCGTAGTTGGCAGCTGCAGTGAGCTCATGTGGCCAGCAGGTGGCACCCCAGGCTGGCTGCTGCTCCCCAGACCCTGTTCTTGGAGGTGGCAGGTGGGGAGGCCTGGGGAGGTCTGAGGAGGATGTGATTTCCTCAGGTGGTGACAGAGGCTTGGGCTCTGGAGGGCGATGAGGGGGTAGGGAGCCCATGGAGCAGAGGTAGATAGACAGCAGGTGACTCAGGTTGACCAGACCTTAGAGGGCTTGGGAAGGGTCCTTGAGACAGAAACTGGAAAACCCGGAAAGAAGTTTGTGTTAACGTTGTGCTTTGGGTCAGGTGGCCAAGGTTGGGGGCAGGTGGGAGGCATCCAGGCCTGGGGAACCAGGCAGCGATGAGCGGAGGAGGCGAGGGGAGCACAGTCCTTGGGGTGGTGTCACGGTGCCCCGGGCGTGCCATCGAGTCCTGTGTCGGTACAGTGTGCGTGACAGTGTGGGAGCTGAGGAGTGAACCAGCGCCAGCGCCAGGCCGGCCAGGGTGTGAGATGCTTGGCCATCTGGCTGTGGCCTCGATAGAAAGGCAGCAATCCAGGGGCAGGGGCAGGGGCACAGGGCCGTGGCCTCGATAGAAAGGCAGCAATCCAGGGGCAGGGGCAGGGGCACAGGGCCGTGGCCTCGATAGAAAGGCAGCAATCCAGGGGCAGGGGCAGGGGCACAGGGCTGTGGCCTCTCAGGCTCCGCGGCAGTCCCGTGCACTGAGGGGCTGTGGGCTTTTCAGGAATTTGCCACCTTAACCCGGGAGCTGAGCATGTGTCGGGAGCAGCTTCTAGAGCGGGAGGAGGAGATATCAGAGCTGAAAGCAGAGCGGAACAACACGAGGGTCAGTGGGGTGACCTGGCCTGTGTGTGGGGGGTGGACCCCTTGGCCAGCCCAGGCACATCCCTGCCTTATGTCTGGATGAAGATTATTCCACCATCAGTGCTGGGCTTTTCACCTGAGGTCCTGGGGGGAGGCCAGGGCAGCTGGCATGGGGAGGAATTTGGTTGGGACAGCAGTTGCTTATGAACACAGAAGTATTTCAACATGTGGCCAGGCCACATGGCTGTACACATATGTACCGTGATCACGTGGGCCCTCCTATAACCCTTCCCCCCTTGCACACGGCCCTCCTCTCACCTCCCTGTTCCGCCAGCTGCTTCTGGAACACCTGGAGTGCCTGGTGTCCCGCCACGAGCGATCGCTGCGGATGACGGTGGTGAAGCGCCAGGCACAGTCGCCCTCAGGGGTCTCCAGTGAGGTGGAGGTGCTGAAGGCCCTCAAGTCGCTGTTCGAGCACCACAAGGCCCTGGACGAGAAGGTACCCCCAGCGCACCCTTCTCTGTGATTCCTGCATCCTCTTTCCCACCCATCTGCCAGCTTCATAACAGGCTCCCTCCTCCGTTGCCCAGTGTCAGGGTCCCCCTAGGGGACGTCCCCTCTGGAAGTTTGCTCTTGGCAGGGCCTCTCTGCCGCACACCACAGCCTGCGCCCAGTGGGGTCTCTGTTTCTTCCTCCACCCTCACCTCCTACCTGGGCAGGTGCGAGAGCGGCTCCGGGCGGCCTTGGAGCGAGTCGCCACCCTGGAGGAGCAGCTGGCAGGTGCCCACCAGCAGGTAAGCGCCTGCTCACCTCCGTCTGTCCCTGGGCTGGAAGCCAAGGCGGGTTCACCCTTTGCTCCTCGGCTCCTGGAGATGCTCACTGCTGTCTTGCTGTCTGGGCTGGAGACTGCTGGCCGAAGGGAGGCAGGGACCCAGGAGGGTCTGGAACATAGGAGAGCTTCTCTTGTCTCTGACTCACTCTGCTGGGACTGTGCCCTGCAGGTGTCTGCCCTGCAGCAGGGAGCAGCGCTTCGGGACGGAGTGGCGGAAGAGGAGGGGACTGTGGAGCTGGGCCTGAAACGCCTGTGGAAGGTGGGTTATGGGAGCTGCATAGCAGGGGCATGTCTTCCCCCAGACAGGAGGCGGGGCCCTGGCCTGTTCAGTGGAGCAGCTGCTCAGAGTATTTCAGGGCTTCTTCCAATATCCCCCTTTTCTTTTCTCTTTCCACACCCCATTTCAGAGAAATCTATAGTTGTGTTTCTGTGCCCACTGCCAGGCACATAGGTGCTGGTCCACCTGAACTGTCAGGGCCATCTACCTGTGTGTCAGCTTCCGTCAGGGAAGGGGCTGACTCTGAGCCTGTTCTTCAGTCAGGCCCCTCTCTAGGTTATAAGATGCTGAACTAGTAGGTCAAACTAGAAAGTATTGCTTTTCAAGAGACACAGGGGAGAGCAAGAGTGTCAGGTCATCATCTGCCGTGAGCTCCTGGGCCCAGAGGAGGCAGGTGGACTGAGGTGTGCTCAGAAGCTGGGCAGAGCGTCCCTCCTCCAACCTGCCTGGGTGGCACAGGGCAGTGGGATGTCTTGGGCACCGATGGTGGACTGACGGCTCGCTGTCCCTGGAGGATGACGAGGGCCGGCTGCAGGAGCTGCAGGAGTTGCTGGAGAAGCAGAACTTTGAGCTGAGCCAGGCCCGGGAGCGACTGGTTACTCTGACAGCAGCAGTGGCTGAACTGGAGGAGGACCTGGGCACCGCCCGCCGGGACCTGATCAAGTCGGAGGAGCTGAGCAGCAGGCATCAGCGGGACCTACGGGAGGTGAGCAAGGCCTGGCCGGCCCCAGTGTGCTGGGTGCAGCGTTCAGCGCTCAGGAGGGCAACTGCCTGGATGCCTTGGGAGTCAGGGGGCCAGGCGAGTGCTGGGAGTGTAAGACTGAGCACTTGGTGGGGTCCCGTTAGGGCAGGAGCTGCGGACGGAGGAGGTAAGGTAGACGCGGGCAGGGCAGTGTGGAGACAGACAGCCCGCCAGGGACTGGTGGGAGGCGCAGACAGGGAGGTGCAGGGGGAGCCGATGACCTTGCCTGGGGCCCCTCTGCTCCTGCCCAGGCTCTGGCCCAGAAGGAAGACATGGAGGAGCGGATCACCACACTGGAGAAGCGCTACCTGGCTGCTCAGCGCGAGGCCACGTCCATCCATGACCTCAACGACAAGCTGGAGAGCGAGCTGGCCAACAAGGAGTCCCTGCACCGCCAGGTAGCTGCTCCTGGAGGGGTGGGGGCGTGTGCTGGACCTGGGAGACTCCCTCATGCGGGAACCTTACCTGGGCGGCCCAGCGGCCTCTGGGGTCCTGCAGGTCGCCTTGGGCAGCCAAGAACCAGGTCGTTTCTTGCCTCCTGGCCTGTCCTGGCACTGTGCTGAGGCTGGGGGGCTGCAGCGCTCCCTCCTGACTGTCCCCCCTGCCACACTCTCCAGTGTGAGGAGAAGGCTCGACACCTGCAGGAGCTGCTGGAGGTGGCAGAGCAGAAGCTGCAGCAGACCCTGCGGAAGGCAGAGACGCTGCCGGAGGTGGAGGCCGAGCTGGCCCAGAGAATCGCAGCCCTCACCAAGGTGAGTGGCCGGGCCCAGGGGTCCGCGGTGTCCCTGCCACTTCCCACTGGCGACTGCAGGAAGTCCACCCGGTGGCTGTCGGTTGGAGGAGCGGCGCTCGCCCTCATTACCCCGTGGGATGGGACAGCCCACAGCAGGTGTGAATGCGCTCCGAGAAGTAGAAGAGACGGTGCTCATGCAAATTCTTTCAATGATCATTTCCACCACGTGGTTAATACTTCCTTGGGTTTGTATCTGGAGTGGAAAATTAGGACTTTTATCCCTGGAAAGATGAGGTCGGAGAGGAGATGGGACCCAAGTCTGTAATTCCTGAAGTGGGTGGAGTTTAATCCATGCTTATCTACCTTTATTAAAGTGAAGCATCTGGATCTAGGGACCACGCTGGTTGCTTGAAGGCTGCAGCTTTAGGATGAAGAAAGGGAATATGATTTTAACGAGTGGATACACGAGCAGCCAGGTAGCGCTTCTCCAGTGTGGTGATCCGCTCCTCCATGTCTTCCTTCTGGGCCAGAGCCTGGGCAGGAGCGGAGGGGCCCCAGGCAAGGTCATCGGCTCCCCCTGCACCTCCCTGTCTGCCCCTCCCACCAGTCCCTGGCGGGCTGTCTGTCTCCACACTGCCCTGCCCGCGTCTACCTTACCTCCTCCGTCCGCAGCTCCTGCCCTAACAGGACCCCACTAAGTGCTCAGTCTTACACGAGTCTTTATGGATAATAATTCATAAGAGGTGTGCAGCCTGAACACTGGGCTCTGGAAGAGCTGGGGGAGGGCATGACATAGATATGTGTGGATTAATCGGGGATTTAGGAGGCTTTGTCGCCAGGCAGAGGCTAACCCCCCACCCATGCAGAGAAGGAAGCCAGTATCGTAAGCATCAGGCCCCGGGCCTCTGCCCGTGTGGCAGCTTGGGGCCCTGTGGGTGGGACCTGCAGCTGGGTGTACCTAGGTAGACCCAGGGCCAAGTCTGCTTCTGCCACTGACTGTCTTGTGACCAGGGAACAGTCCATCCCTCCCTGATTGGACACCAGTGTTCTTACCTCTATGTTGACACCATCGTCTCTTTGATGATGTCATCATATCTATGATGATGTCATGTATGTGATGACACCTTTGGCTCTATGATGATGTCATCATGATGATGATTATTGGGTTTGGACTTGGTGGTTTCGAAGGACTCCCCAGCCCCTGGGAATCGAGGCTGGGCAGAGAGTGGAGGACGGGTGATGCTGAGCAGCAGCTCTCCTATGTCCCAGAACCGACAGAGGACTCCTTTCTTCCCATGAGTCACGAGGAGGGTTGTCCTGACTGTAAGGTGAGGGGTGGTCTGGACGACCTCGTCAGCAGAAACAAAGGGGTCTGGGTCTCCATCTCTGGAGATCATGAGCATCAACGGAGACACTGTCTGGGCTGGTTGATCACAAAGGTCATAACCATGGCTAGCGTCTGTTGTCTCATTTAGTCCTTGCAGGTGGTAGGCGTCAGAGCTGTTGTTACCCACATTGTGCAGTTGAGGAAACTGAGGCACATAGAGGTTCAGCAACTGGCCCAGGGTCACACATCTGGGAAGAGAGGGAGCCAGGATTTGAGTCCAGGCAGTCTGGCTTGAGTCCATGCACTTAAGTGCAGGTCAGTTTCTCTGGAGGCAGCTCATGCCTTCAGGTGGAGTTTTTCCCAAAGTGTGTGGAGAATTTCCAGTGTCTGGTGATGCAGCTCCAGGAAGTTTTAAGGCTGTTCTGCTCCAGGGTGGCAGGGGGAGGGCCGGGCTCCGTTGGCCCCTGAGGCCCCAATCTCCAGAGACCACCTGGCACCAAGATGCAGGAAACAGGTGACCTGAACGGGAGGGCGGACACGGGGCTGCACTGATCTGCCCCTGCCCGCAGGCCGAGGAGAGGCATGGCAACATCGAGGAGCACCTGCGGCAGCTGGAGGGCCAGCTGGAGGAGAAGAACCAGGAGCTGGCGAGGGTGAGGCCCCTCTCTGACCGCCCCCAGGGTGGGCTGTGGATGGGGCAGGGAGGAGGCGGGCAGGGGGAAGGCCCTGGCCAGGGACAGCCACAGAGGGTGAGAGAAGGTGGTTGGAGAGTTGGAGGGGGGCTTCAGAGAATGAGAAGGGGACAGGTGAGCATGTGGCCCTGGGGTGCCTGTGTGCAGGTGCGCCAGCGGGAGAAGATGAATGAGGACCACAACAAGCGGCTGTCAGACACCGTGGACCGGCTGCTCAGCGAGTCCAACGAGCGCCTGCAGCTCCACCTCAAGGAGCGCATGGCTGCTCTGGAGGAGAAGGTGGGTGCCCCAGGTCAGAGGAGCGGGGCTGCGGGAGGGATGGGGTCTGCTGGAGAACAGGGCCTGCTAGAGGGGAGGGGCCGGAGGGCCGGAGGGGCTGGGTCGGATGTGAGAGTGTCGTCATGGTGGAGGCTGGCCTGGGCCTCGCACCTCTGCCTGCCCATCGTCAGGCTGGAGAAGGGAGGAGCTGCCGCCCTAGAGGGCAGACTCGCAGGCCGGGTCCTGGCAGGTGGGGAAGGAGCCCTTGGGCCCTGGCTCACGACTGCTCTCCCCCAGAACACGCTGATGCAGGAGCTGGAGAGCTCCCAGCGGCAGATCGAGGAGCAGCACCACCACAAGGTACCCGCTGCCGAGCTGGGAGCCGGGAGGGCGGGGGCTGTGCTGGGTGCAGCCGCTCTGGTGCCCGGCACAGAGTGAGCCCATGGCCGGACGGTGCGGTGAGCTCACTGGCCCTCCCTGGAGCCTGCCAGCGGGCGCATTACACCTACGTGTAAAGAGCCTGAGGCCACAGCTTAGGGCAGAGTAGGCGGCAGAGACCGGGCCAGCAGAACAGCTTGCTGAGGCCTCAGAGCAGGGGTTCCAGGAGGCTCGGCCACTCTTCCTGCCTGGGCAGTGTCTGTGAGGTCCGAGGGCACGGGCCTCTGCTGCCCAGCTCGAGGGTCGTGCCAGGTGTGGGGCGGGTTTCAGGCCCGCTCCTAAGCCCCTTCCTTCCCCAGGCAGACCCTGTCCTAGCCCAGCCCTGCCCGCCTGCCGCCATCTTCTGTTTGCTCTTCCCTTGGACCGAGTCTCTTTGGTGTGATCTGTGGGCCTGGTCTGGGCCCTGGCTTTGCACTTTGCAGTGCCCTCTGCTGCTTCTCCCCAACTCTGCCATCCTCTTTGTCCCTCTCTCCCCTCTCTGTCCCTCCCTGACCCCAACCCCACACCGGGTCTGCCTGGCACAGGGCCGCCTGTCCGAAGAGATTGAGAAGCTGCGCCAAGAGGTGGACCAGCTGAAGGGTCGAGGGGGGCCGTTGGTGGATGGCATCCACTCCAGGTACTGGAGCACGGGAGGCTGGGTGGGGTCCTGGTGGACCCCGAGGAGGAGACTTCCTCCCACCAAAAGACCGCCTAGGACCTCAGGGCAGGACATTGAGGCCTGGAGAGCTTGGTCAAAGCCACCCAGTCATTGTCAGCTGAGCAGGGAGCCCTGACCCCGGAGGGGTGCTCAGGTCACACACAGAGAGCCCTCCCCAGGCCGTGGACATAGGCCATCCTTCCTACTTCCTAGACAGGGCCTGCCCTGCAGAGGGTCTGCTGAGTTACATGCTCGCCCACAGCCCACGGCCCACAGCCCACGGCCCACAGCGCATGGCCCATGGCCCGCCCATGGAGGGTGTCTGGTTCCCTCTAGTTCTCTGGAGACACCATCTTCGGGGTCTGCAGGATTGCTGTTTGAGCTGAGGGCCGCCTAGGGCAGGTGGCAGGCAGCGGGCACAAAAGCAGCAGGAGAGATTGAGGTGAGGCAGCAGGAACTCCCTTGCTGTTCCTCACACGGTTGTGCTTCTTTCCCAAGAACATTGAAGAGATGGGGGGGGGGCTCTCCTCGTGCTGGAATTAGGCCCATGCTGCAGGGAACTTCTGGGTTTACCTCCATATTTTGTGAAGCAGGCAACGTAGCCCTGCCTCCCTTCTCTGCCAGAGGCAGGTGAGGAACAGACTGAATGAGTGAATCCATCAAGGTTCGCAGGCCTGGCCGTGTCCTCCCCAACAATGTCCTTTAGATCAGAACCCTCGAGGCAATAGCGATCTGTGGGCAATGGACAGTTCTCTGCAGAGAGGTGAAAGGAAGCGTGTGGTGTGTGTGGGTGGGGCAGGGGTTAGGGAAAGGGGTGCTGGGCCGGTGGTGTCGGTGGTAAGACCTTGCTGCATCTTCAGTGGTCAGCAGGTGTTCCTGTGTAGAGTGCGGTGGGGCAGGGAGGGAACGGACCCAGTGGGCGGCACCCCGGCTCTCCCTCCTGCAGGCTGCTCAGGAGAGACCAGCCCTGAATTCGTAAGACGTGGCCCAGAGGACACCAGGCCGCTTGCCATGCTTGCTTTCCTCAGTGGTCGGAATCCTTGGCTCTGATTAGACATTCTGGGCCCATCACAGCACGGGCTGCGTGTAGGGGAGCAGAGACCCTCTTCTCAGACCGGGACTCTGGGCCTGTGGGGTGCGCTGGGCTCAGCCCATCCTCTCCCTGCCCCATGCAAGGTCGCACACGGGCAGCGCAGTGGACCTGCGGTTCTCCTTGAGCACGGCAGCCCCGGGCCTGCGTCGCCGCTTCTCGCTGCGGGAAGAGCCTGCCAAGGTGAGGGGTGGAGGGTGAGGGGGGCATCTCCCGGGAGGTGGGGTCACTTCGGCCGGCCTCGTGCCTGGCTCCAGTTTCACAGCTGGTCGGCGTGTGGTATAAATCCTCCCCTGCCCCCCACCCCGTGCCAGTGACAGCTGCAGCCCTGGATGGGGCCTCGGCAGCTGCAACAGCTGCGCTCCCCCAGCCTCCTGGTCCCTGGGGCCCACCGAAGCGTGCGCACGTGTGCCTGGGTGTGCAGGCGTGTGGTCGGGCGGGGACGGGGGCAGGATGGAATTGGCACGCTTTCTGGAACAAAGCTGTGGTCTGTGGGGAGATGGCGGATGGCAGGGTAGCTAGCGGGCCCTCGGACGGCACCTGGAGTTTCCTGAGATGCTGCTGTGAGATCTCACTGAGCCTTCGGAGGAGCAGGAAGTGTAGGCGTCTGGTTGCCGCCTGGCCTGGGATGGTTGACCTCTGTCCTGAGCCCAGGGCCCCCACAGACAGGGAGAGGAGGAAGGAGCTCCTCGTCTGAGGGGTGGGGAGTCAGTGTGAAGGCTCCTCTTTCTCTCCCCTCACCCTCTTCCTGTTCAGCTGCTGCCCAGGCCCCGCTCCTCTTCGCCCCTGCTCTCTGGCTGCCCCAGCTCGGCTCTGTGCCTCTCGAGGGCCTCTGTCCACCAGAGAGGTTCACAGGATGATTTTGGAGAAGCTTCCTCTTCTCGGGGTGACCAGAGGGTCCTGCTGTGCAAACCGGGACCCGAGACACCCTGGGGCTCGTCGCCCTTTGTTTGTGTTACTCGTGCTTACTTTGTGCCAGACACTGCTGAGCACTAGAGTCCTCACAACTGCCTATGGCACAGGTCCTGTGAATACCCCTTTTACAGACGAGCAAACTGAGGCACAGGGTGGTGAGACGACTTCTCGGCGGCTGCACAGCCAGTGTTGGCTGGAGCACCTCTGCCCCTGGAATCCCCGCCAAGCACGTTGCCGTCGGGGTCCTTGATAGTCCAGTCGTATTTCTTAGACTTTATGTGCAAATAGATCAGCCAGGGCTCTTGTTAAAATGCAGGTTCTGCACCCCCAGATTTGGGCTGAACAAATGCCCCTCCTCTTCCCTCCTTTGCTCAGGACTGGGAGCGGTCTCCACTGCCTGGTGTGCTGGCCCCCACGGCCGCCCCTGCCTTCGACAGTGACCCTGAGATCTCTGACGTGGATGAGGATGGGCCAGGGGGTCTGGTGGGCTCCGTGGATGTTGTCTCCCCGGGCAGCCACTCCGATGCGCAGACCTTGGCCATGATGCTGCAGGAGCAGCTGGACGCCATCAACGAGGAGATCAGGTCAGGGCCGCCACAGGAGGAAGTGTGCAGTTCGCTTGTCTCTCATAGGTGCACCCGAGAGCGCCACTGTCCAGGGGCCCGGAGGCTGTGCCCAACACTGACCTCAGACCGACCTGCGGGCTGGCTGTGCCCCGGTGGCGTCTGCAGCGGACACCAAGGGTGCAGCTCCCACCCACCAAGGCTGTTGCAGTCTCACCACCATTCCTGGGGGAGACGGTATCATCTCCACTTGACAGACAAGGGACAGAAACCAGCGACCGACGGATTTGCCTAGAGCAGCACAGGGAGTGGTAGAGCCAGGATTCAGACGGGTCTCACCGCCCCCACAGCCAGGCCTCAGACAGGAAGTTACCGGGTGGGCACTTTGCCCGCCGTCGAGAGGGTTTGTTAATGTTATGACCAATGACAAGGAAGAGCCAGCCGGACAGCACCAGCTCTTCAGGGCCACAGAGGGCGCTGGGTCAGGGGTGCCCACGCTGGGATATCACAGGCCAGTTAACATGGCACACACACACACACACGTGCTGACAGGACCGCCAGCTTCTAGTCCACCGACTGAAACATTGAAGGGATCCGCTGTTCCTGTCACAGCCATTCTACCGCCATCAGACCGTTAGCACCCTAACGTTGGGAAGACATACTCCCCACAGAAAAGCAGGCCCCTTCCTCAGCTGGCACCTTCACATCAGTCGTGTGTGACTGTGCGTCACAGCGTGTGTGACAGCGTCTCTCTGAGCCCCGCCCCCCTCATTATTCTCATTTTCCTGTGAACGGGTCAGCACAGTGAAGGTCCAGCGTTTGGGGACGTAGCCCACTCCTCACATTGGGAAACTGGCCAGAGAGCCAAGGGCCTGACCCGAGTCCCCCTGTAGCTGGCGTTAGGCCGAGGATTCTGACGTCCAGATGGTTTGTATTCCTCTGACTAAACTGCCTCCGTTCCCGCAACTGCTTTTGTTAAACGGGAGTTTTGTTACAAAGTTCAGCTCACAAGAGAGAAGGATCTTTCTAAGCTGCAGTGGGAAGTGCTGGGCAAGGCCAGAAGCACCTGCCTCCTGGTGGCCACTGGGGCTGCTGCCCAGGCCGATGCCCAGGCTGATGCTGACCCGTCCCTCCAGGATGATCCAGGAGGAGAAAGAGTCCACGGAGCTCCGCGCGGAGGAGATCGAGACGCGAGTGACGAGCGGCAGCATGGAGGCCCTCAATCTGACCCAGCCGCACCGGCGCGGCCCCATCCCCACCTCTCTGACTGCCCTGTCCTTGGCCAGTGGGTCCCCTGCATTCAGTGGCCGCTCCACAGCTAAGTGTGCCTCCCGCAGTGCCGTTCAGGACCTGGACCGAATGGGGGTCATGACCCTGGTGAGTCTTGGGACAGTAGAGGAGCAGCCCTGTCCTCGCCGGGCTCCACCTCCTCCCGTGATGTGCATAGACCCCACACGTCCCGCCACGAGCACATCCTGTTTCGGACACACCTCTCCCTGGAGGAGCAGGGCTCAGGAAGCCGACCGCTGCCCACCTGTCTCCCCCGGAGGCCCTGGCTTATTGTTCTGGGCCAGCTGTTCTCTGCTGCGATGTCTCTGCAGACCTGGGCGAGGTCCCGACTCCTACCTTCCCCTTCTGAGACCTGGGCTCCCCTTGGGGTGGACTGGCAGCACCCAGAGGGTAAGTGAGCTCCCGCTTCTCTCTCTTCCAGCCCAGTGACTTGCGGAAGCACCGGCGGAAGCTGCAGGTGAGTGGGCCTGAGCAGGTCCTGTGGTCGGTCCTCCGGCTTCTCCCCCGGCCCCAGGCCTCCCTGCTGCGCTCTCACTGCGGCCAGATCTCTCCCTCTATCCCCTGATGGCTCCACTGTCTGTTCAGTCACCAGTGTCTCGGGAACAGAACCGAGAGGATAAAGCCACCATACATTGTGAGACCTCTCCTCCTTCCTCACCCAGGACGCTGCGGCTCGAGAAGCGCGGCCACCCAGCCCCGAGCCAGGAGGAAGGCCAGAGGTAAGAGAGCCCTCCCAGCTCTCCATCCCCACGGCCATCACCTCGTCCAGCGATCTGGACACCTCACTTCTCTGAATCACCATCAGGGAAGGACAGTCCCCGTCTCCCTGGTCACCTGCTCTGATGGCTCCCCTCACCCCCCCAACTCTGACACTGCCTGTAAGTTCTTCCTGAGGTCTGACCCCCACCCTCCTGCTGTACTTCTCCCCTCTGTGCCGCCCTCAGTGCCGCGGAGGACCAGGGCAGCAGCCCCAGCAGCAGCCACAGCAGCCAGGACTCCTTGCACAAGGGCGCCAAGCGCAAAGGCATCAAGTCGTCCATCGGCCGGCTGTTCGGGAAAAAGGAGAAGGGCAGGCTGACCCAGCTGAGCCACGATGGAGCTGCGGGCCACGGTCTCTGCCCCTTCCCAGCAAACGAGTCCAAGTTCAAGTAGAGGGCCAGAGGCAGGAGGGTGCTGGGTGTGGGCTTGGCTGCTGCTGTCTGCAGGGACCCCAGCCCGACGGGGTTTCCGTTAGCCTGTTGTTCCCCAGCGGGCGGCTGCCCGTCCCCCGGGGGCTCCAACCAGGGTCAGGCCCGCCATGGCCGAAGAGGTTCCTGTACGGAGCGAAGGCTGGGCCTGCGCGGGGTCGTCCGGCCGAGGGCTCTGATGCTCAGTGCTCAGGGCCGTCAGGAGTCTGTGGTCAGCACTTCCTTCTGGCCTGTCTGGCCTCCAGGACCCACATTCCATAGGCCTGTTCGCGTAGGGGCCTGGCAGCAGGCCCCGCGCCACCCGTGTGATGATGGGAGGCCCTGGAGCACGCCTGGCAGGTGGTAGGCACGCAGCGCGTCAGCTCTCTCCCTTCCCTCCTCGCTCCCGCATCTCCTCAGTCCTTTGCTTGGCAGACACTTGAGTAGCTCTGGACACAGGCTCAGTGCTAAGTCCATTCCTGCAAATAGCTCTGATGAGAAGGTAACACTGAAGAGACACTTCAACGACAGGGTAACGACTGTGAGATGCCCGAGGTGCGCAGTGGGGGCCACGGAGCGGCTTGCTCTGCTGCCAATATCTGGGCTGAATCCAGAGGCAAAGTAGGAGGGAAGGGGGTCTGAGGAAGGCAAAGACGTGGGTGTGAGAGTCCTGTATGCAGCTGAGTCTGTTCAGAGTGGGTAGGAGGGGGGGGGAGGGGGCGCTTGGACCCTGGGCTGGGTTAGCTCATGAGGGCCTTGCAGAATCAGCCGAAGAGGGTTAGAAGCCCCCAAGGCAGCGAGAGCTTTAACCAGTTTCATGAAGGGAAACCTGCATGATCAATGAGAAAAGGAACCTTTGAGCCCAAAGCATAATTGCATAATTATACCTTCCTGCCCCCGGAAGGCGTGAGTCAGAACCCATGAGCTCGGAGGACTGGGAGGGGAGAGCCCGCTCCCGTGTGGGAGCCTCTGCCCCAGCTCAGGGGAGCTGAACGCCACAGGGCAGGAGGCTTCTGTGTGAAGCCCATTTCCTGTGCTCCCCCCGCCGGCCGGCACCTGAGCCTAGGGCAGCGCCTCCGACTTCTGGACCAGCCACACCAGCTGCCCTCTGCCCGCACAGGGCTGCCCTGCATGCGCTCTGGGGGACGGCCTCCGCTCAGGAGCCGTGGGTGGGGCGGACAGACTGGTACTTGTTCTCTCGGTGTTTTTGGCCGAGGAGGGCACCCTGAGAGGCGGTCTCCCCGTCCGACCTGGGCCAGGAGAGTTCTCTCGGCCTCGTGGCCTCTTGTGTCTGGTTCTTGGGTCTCCTTTGCAGCTTGGTTTGGAGGAGGGACAAGTCTGGTGAGGATTCTGCGGCTGTTAGTGCCGCACAGTGTGGCTCCATCCCATTGGAAAATACCGCAGGGCCAACGCTCAGGGCACCGCACCGTCGGGGCTGGGGCGGCCTGGGTGCGGGATGCCAAGCGGAGGCTCCGGGAACGGTGGGTGGTCCTGTCAGGCCCTGGGTTTCATGCACTGAGGAGCTTCCTGCTGGTCTGCTTCCCAGTCCTGGACCCGCCAGGGGGACCAGCAGAGGGTCTGGCTGACTTGCCATCGCTTCCCTTCTAGTTCTGACAGACTCCGAGCTCGGGCTGCAGGAGCCCCTGGTGCCTGCCAAGCTGGGGACCCAGGCAGAGAGGGACCGGCGGCTGAAGAAGAAGTAAGAGCAGCGTCCAGGCTGGCTGCCACCCCCTGCCCGTCCCCTGGCTGCCAC